AGATAATTCTATATTTTTTTAAATCGTTTAAAATTGTTTCAAAGTTACAGAAGCTCACTCAAGTTTATACATCAATAAAACATAATTTAAACCTTTAATTAAGAATAATTCCATTGAAAAAGCTCAACTCGACATTATAAAATGCTTTTTTTTTTTCAGCACGCAATTCATTTGTCAAAGAATTTTAAAAAATTTTCAACTTTTCTGACTTTTTATAAGTAAATTCATCATCCTTGGTTGAAAGACTAGGATATTATTTAAAATCTATCTCAAAGATCTACGACATCGGGAAATATTTATACAATACATTCTAACATTGGGAACTATATAACACGTTAGAAAATATATAACAACACTCGTTCAATATTCTTCACATTCTATAATGTAACTGAACGAGAAAGGAATGAATTTTTACGAATCGACGTAAGATCTCATTCTCGTCCGATCATCGAACTGCCCATCACTACAAACAGGTTTCGACGTTTTACGGCTGTTTCAAGATTTCCGGAATGCGATCCAATTTACGATAACGATCCTTGTCCCCGACACATGTTGCTAAGTACGACGGCCCTGAAGTCAACCGCAGCGAACGTTCATATATGCTGGCCACGCAGTTTCTACTGACAGTTCTCAATCAGGGATGATTGGGAACGTTCGACGATTCTCCTCGTGCGTTTTACATACTTCCTTCCTAGGAACATTCTTGCCTGAGTGACTTCTGTCGTGTTCACTTTCTACTGAACGTTCGATCCGTACTGAAATTGATTAAACTGGCGGTGAACAATGTTTACTTGCCTCTTTCGTTGCAATTAATTTTCGTATTTACATGTTATCCATACTTTAAGTTTAATGGTAGCTGTTTATATTCTCAGTTCACTTTAGTTTTTTGTACTTTTAGTTTGCTAGGAATTATTTAGACTTTTTAGTCTCAGTTTCATTGTTGATCATTTTCGTTATTATTCACATTCACAGTGTTTGTGAAATAGAAATAGGCTATTTATATTGTTGAAAATTCTCGTCACTTTTCTATATTCACAACTCTCAAAAATACATGAAACTCGACTCGTAAAATTCCGCGCTAAGACATTTCGAATCTACAAAGATAAGCTCGAGAGGCGTGAATTTAATTCCATGACAGGCAAAAAGGTAAAACGGCTAGTTGTTTCATCGATAGTGTCAGTGATAAATTACGGAATCCTTGATTCAATTATTGCACTGTAACTCTCGGATACATTCGATCGTAAAATATCGCGTGCTGCAAGAATTCAATTAACGCACCGATCGTCCTGTTGCCTTTTGTGGAATCTTTCAGCCGAGGAACGTAATGCTTGACGTGTGATAAAGGCTTAAAATTATGCAAACGACTCGCGCAAATTTTACGAGGAGGCCTTGGAATGGGGATAACGGAATCGAATTTTACCGATTCAGCAAGTGTGTTTCCTGTTTCGATGAGACTTTTATTGACCGTACAGAAGATTGTATTTAATTGCCAATTATACTTGCTTTCGCAATTATTCTTGGTTTTCCTTATTATCGTTTTCGATTTTTATTATTGTCGGTCTTTATTATTACGGTTATTAATTTTAAAAAATATTTAAAATAATGGAACCATCCTTCTTTTTTTTTTGATAATTTTTTAACATGTTACCAAGATTTGTTAAAAGCACAATACTATCAAGCTAATAACATTAAAAAATTTCGCAAAAATAAATTAAAAATGTGATAACACGTTAAAAAATATTAAGAAATTTGACTCCATTTCTGTAAATGTTTATTCTTAATTTTTATTAATATTATGTAGCAATGTTTGTAACTAATTTATAATTTTAATTTGTAATCGTTACAGTTAATTTTTATTACTATTCACAATTATAATTAAGAAAGTGCCATAGATTCCAATAATTTACAGATCGACGTGTTAAGTACTTTATATTGATAAACTGTTTTGCTTTTAAATGATTATTTAACTATGATTATCGTGAATCTAAATAATGAACTTTTTTCGATGGAAAATATTATCTTCTTTTCTCCTTTCGAAGGTTTCAAGGTGAAGCTTGGAAAGGAAGATTTTGGGATCCGTTTAGAAAGTTGGCCATCGTGAACAGGTGTAATTACACTTTAAAATCGTAGAATAATAGAGACAGGTGAAAGTCTTGTAATCATGACTGTAATAGAGATGGATCTCCCGTTATAAAGAAATAAATTGTCTGGCAATGGATTTATTCGTTCGAACAGGAAACATGAGGTCTAAAAATTCCACATGTATAAAACCCAGCATGTATTCTTCTTAGATACAACTTCTAATTGAATAATTATCAACATCGTCTTTCTAATGTTAATTTTAAGAAGCACTGTACGAGTGCCGATAAACAAATCAAAATAGATTAGTCGAGTTTGTCATTTATTATAAATTGTTTCAATAAATTATTAATTTAATCAACTTGATTATCTTCGCGAAATTTTTGAAAAATTTTTTTTTTTATATAATTTTCGATCAAAGTTTAAGGCGGACGCGTGGAAATATAGCTTCTATAATTATTAGAAAGCAAGATAACTAACACGGAGACAGTAGAGAGGATAATCGAGAAACCAAGAAACGCGTGAACGATATCATCGTGATGACATTTGTTGGTATGTTCTCGATGAAATCGACGGATGATCGAGAATTTAATCTCGCGATTCGGTCAATTATTCAAGCATTTCTCGCTCTATTAAAGTATTTTCCTCTCTTTCATCTTGATGGATATTAATTAAACGAAAACATGCTACTTTTTTGTTCTCGACTCGCGTGATGTTTCGACGTTGCAACTTGTTTATTCAAATGAGACGTTATTGCCTTGAACCACTTACATTTCAATCGTTACTCTTAACCGTGGCACGTTATTTTATACTCTCTATGAAATTAATTAATGATTCATCTTATGTACATACATCTCGATATTTCTATTACTCGTTTGAGAGATATGAGCGCGCGAAGTTTGTTTAAGAATGATTTCCTGTTTAAATATGATTTCTTGAGAAATTTATATCAATCGTAGAAAGTAGAAAACGTAAAAAAATATAATGGCAGTATTAAAATTTTTCGAAAGATACCTCGGCAAAAGGAAGATGTAAAAACATTTCAATTAACATTTTGACATAATTTATGCTCGTTTTACTCTCGTTATATCGTCCGCATTTATCTTTTGGTTCTCTCCCTCTTTTTCGAATCCTCGAGATATGACGAACTTGATCTTGTATCATTTTTGCGAAATCCCATCAGGGTTAGCATACATAATTTCACTGATTTACAATAACTGAAAATAAAAGAGAATTAGATTTATGACAACGTTTACTGACAAAAAAAAACCTCTTACAGTAGTTGAGTGTACATACAATAATTCTTGCATTTTTTTGGGGGGAGGGAGGGGTAACAGGGAACGGTAGACAAAAAAAAATAGGAAAAAGATGTATGCATATATACGATCGAATCGCAAAGAGAAACGTCGCGATAAAAAAAAAAATCGTTTCTCTTCGAAGAATTACTCGAAGAGACGAACCAACGTTCCATCAAACTTAATAATATAATCAACCGACAATGGTGGGGCTTTAATCGGTTTCCAAGGGGGAATACTCGTAAATATATTATGTATAAAAAGAAAAAAAAAACAATACGTACGAAGATATCACAATCCACGATTAATAAATTTACACGCGATTCCCATGCTTAATCAAGGACCAATCGCCACCCCATCGAGAGAGACTAGAATGATTAAGAATTACATGATCGACGATTGAAACTTTATATAAACGTGCTTAATAAACGATTCGTTAATGATAATACGGATAATAGTAATTATTATTGCGTTAGATCGTCGAGTTAGACAATTACGACGAGACGATAGAGAAATAATCGTATCTATTATTTTTTTTCGTTTTCCTGTTTTGATTGACACCACGCGTTTACATTGATGCGAGTTTATGTACAGTGATCGTGAGTGAGAAAAATACATCGGGCATATACATTTATAAAACGACGTACGTCGATCGTTTCGCGTTGCCACGAAATTTATAAACGCGACGAGTTGCGTAACTGATCGTTTACATATCGGTGTTTCTTCGTTTCAACGAGCTTTTTGTTAAACGTGAGCAAAGTCAAACCTATAACTAGATAATTTTATGATCTTCGTTTTCTTTCTTTTTTTCTTTGTGCGTGTTTGATTTTTTTTTTTTTTT